TTGTTACATAGGTAAGTTCATGTCACAGGGACTTGTTTCATTGATTATTTCATCACACAGGTATTAAGTCCAGTACCTTATGGTTCTCTTTTCTGCTCCTCTCTCTCCTTCCACCCTTCGCCCTCAAGTAGACCTCAGTGTCTGTTGTTTCCTTTTTGTGTTCATAAGCTTTCATCTAAATTTGCAGTTATCCAGTTTTAGAATACCACGAAAAAATAATTACTTATTTTAAAATTATTTAAAAAAAAAAAAACTTTCCAAATAATTGAAAAACACTATTCTACTCAAATCTCAAAAATATCCAAATATATGTTTTTAACAGAAGAATTAAAAAATTATGTTCTCTGGATTCTCTATTGTTGAACCTTTAAAAAAATGTTTTCAGTGAATAATATGTTCCGAGGTGGATTCGACTACAGTATACATTACCACTTTACCTTTACAGCATTCTTCCACTAAACATAACTCAATAAACTTCAACTTGGCTGAATTTATATTCATCTAGGGTAGGTGATTTAATACTTCAAAAAAAAAAAAAGATGGAGTTTCCTGGCTTCAAGAAGCTTACAGACGTGTGTGGAGGGACAGATATATAAAGATTAGAAGTGAAAGCAGTATTATATAAAATTTAAAGAGACAGAAAAAGAGAGTGTGTGTTATTCCTCCTTGAGGTAATTTATAATCTAATGCCAAAAAGAAAAAAAATAAGCTGAAAGCTGAGTCATGCAAGAAGTTCCTTTTCTTTTTGTTCATAAGCAGATAGCTACAGATAAAAGGTTAATTATCTCCACAGGTAGCTTCCATGTTCACCTTATCTTTTGAAAAGTGTCGATTTACTGAGTGTGAGATGAATACATAATTGACTATCCCCCAACCTGCGCCTTTTCTCTTGCAACTTGTGGATTCAGCAATGTGACCATACCCTTCTTTTCTCCTCCAGCCTGTTTTTTTCCCTTTAAAGACCGAAGCCCCCAAAATCATCTTTGGAGAAAGGCAGACCACAGATTGTGTCTGTGATTCGTGTTTTTTCTTCTGGGTCCCGTCCTTAACCTCAGCAAAATAAACTTCTAAACTGATTGAGACCTGTCACAGAAACATTTTGGTTTACAATTGTTTCCCCTTGCTTGCTCACCACACTACTTAAGCAAAGTGGTCTTCTTTCTGCTCCTTGAGCATGCTAATTTTCTTCCTAGATGAGGATTTTTGCAGCACATGCCTAGCTCCTTGTCAAGTGTTTCAGCAAGGCCTTCTATGATCATCCTCTTGAGAGCAGCTTTCCCTCCCACTCATTCTTTGTTCCATGAACCTACGTTATTTTCTTCACATCACTTATTATCTGAAATTACCTTATTTGTTTCCTTTTAAGATTATGTGTCTCTCTACAATAAAAGGTTCTTGTTCACTATTACATTCCAAGCACTTTGAAAAATACTTGGTAGGTACTCAATACTTGCTTAAGGAATGCTAATGGAAAAAACAAATGCGCCTTCAACAATATAAAAATACTGTAGAAGGGAAAAAACTTATGTAACGGACACACAGTGAAAATTTATTATCCTAGATCTAATAGATGAGAAACTGCATAAATATACTCTGTTGTTAAGATTAAAGGCTTCTGACAAGGGTGCCAACACCCGTCAAAGGGCAAAGCACTCTTTTCAATAAGTAGTGCTGAGACAACTGGATAGCCTCATGCAATAGAATGAAAGTGGACCTGTCCATCATACCATATACAAAAATCAATGCAAAATAATCACAGACCTGAATGTAAGATTCAAAACTATAAAAATCTTAAGAAAAAACATAGGAGTAAATCTTTGTGACATAAGGCTAGAAAATGGTTTTTTATACAACACAAAGTACAAGTGACAAAAGAAACAATAAACTGAACCTTATAAAAAAACCTTTTTGTTTCAAAAGACGCCATCAAGAAAGTGAAAAGACAATCCACAAAATGGGATAATATATTTGCAAATCATCAAGCTCATAAGACACTTGTATCTAGAATATATAAAGAACTCAAAAGTAAACAATAAAAAGACAAAAAAATCCCAATTTTAAAACCAGGTGAAATATTTAAACAGACATTTCTCCAGAAAAAAAAGTCCAAATGGTACATAAAAAATGCTCAACACATTAGTCATAAAGAAAACGCAAATCAAAATCACTATGATATAACCACTTTTCACCCACTAGGATGGCTATAAAGAAGAGAATACAGGTGTTGCTGAGGATGAGAAGAAACTGGAACCTCATTCGTACACTGCTGGTGGAATTCGAAAATGGTTCACATGCTCTGGAAAACGTTCTGGGAGTTCTTTAAAGTATCAAACATAGTTACCATATATCCCAACAGTTCCACTCCTAGATAAATATCCCATAGAAATGAGTATATCCACACCAAAACTTATACACGCAACGTTCGTAGGAGTGTTATCTTAATAGCTAAAAAGCAGAAACAACCCAAATGTTCATAAACTGATCAAATATAACAATACATAACCTATTCATACAATGAAATCTTATTTGGCAATAAAAAGTAGTGCAGCTGACCCTTGAACAACATGAGTTTGAACTGTGCAGGTCCACTTCTAGGTGGATTTTTTCAGTAAGTTACACCAAGTGTGCCTGCCTCTCCTGCCTCCCCTCCCCACTTCTCCACCTCTCCTGCCTCTGCTCCCAGTGAAATAGCAAGACGAACCCTCCTTTCCCTCCGCAGGCTATTGAGTGTGAAGACAAAGGAACACCTCTATGATGATTCACTTTGCTTAATCAATAGTAAATGTATTTCCTCTTCCTTTTAATTTTCTTAATAACATTTTCTGTTCTCTGGCTTAAGAATACAGTATATAATACACATAACACATAAAATATGTGTTAATGAACTGTTTACATTACCAGTAAGGCTTCCAGTCAACAGTAGGCTATGAGTACTTATTTTTGGGGGGAGTCAAAAGTTATACACTAATTTTTGACTGCACAGGGAGTTGGTCCCCCTAACCCCTGAGTTGTTCACTGATACATGTGACAAATAGAGGAATCCTGAAAACGTTATTTTGAGTAAAAGAAGTCAGTTATAAATGACTACATATCATCTGACTCCATTTATATGAAATGTCCAGATTAGCCAAATCTATAAAGTGTGTTAATGGATGCCAGGAATTTGGGGTATGGTCCAAGAGTTTGTATTTGGAGTCTGTATGGGTAGGAATTGGGAATGAATGCTAAGAGATATGAGACTTCATTCAGGAGTGACGAAAAACTCTAAAATCAGATAGCAGGGATGGTTGCAAAACTTTGTGAATATGGTAAAAACCAGTGAACTGTATATTTTAAAACGGTGAACATTACAGTATGTAAATTACCGCTCAATAAAACTATTATAAAAAAGAATAACTGAAGATACTAGTAAGGTTAATTTTTCCAGACACTGATTCATTTCCAAATTAATCATTTTTTCAATGAGTATTTATTCTACCTTTATTAAATACTAGGGATATGAAGATGAATGGCATGACCCTTCATCCTTGGGGAGTTTCCAGATTAGTAGACGCTGTTCTCCATGAAGACTTGCTCAATCTGTGCAGGACATTTTATTCTTTGGACATTCAGATAGCATTCCAAAAGAAGAGTATGCAGTACATTTGTTAAATAAAGATAAATAGCTTTGAATTGCTAGTCAGAAAATAAATTGTATTTTTGCCTCCAATTTTATATACAATGCATACTTCAGAAGGTTTAGTAATCTTGGAGCTACAATCATTACACCCATCATTGCTATCAGGAACGTTTCCTGAACATCTGCAGCCCAAGTCAGAATATAGCTTGTTCTCTTTTTCCCCCTCGTCTTCCTTCCCCTCATCTATATTCCATATCCTGTTGACTTGTGATAATTAGGTATAAAAGTGATGGGTTCTGTCACTGATGCTGGACAGCTCAGTCATGGGGTAAGTCTTGTATTTTCTGACATGTTCTTCCCTCCCTAAGATGCCCTATGAGGAAAGAGACAATAGCCTATTGCATTCCAAGTGCCTACTACCAAATGGTAGTAGGTGCCCACTGAATAAAAAAAAATTTCCATTGCACTGACATTATATGAAACAGTCTCTAAATATACTAACACCATTCTAATTCTTTCATTCTGGATGTTTTACCTTTTCTTTGTGATATATAATTATATTTGTTAAATGAATAGATGTCTAATTATTCAACTGAATTTTGGGAGTGGACAGAACAAGAGGGAAGGATGAACACATGTTGCCATTCCAACTCCTTAATTTATTTTCCCAACACCTAAGTTAAAAGTTATACATTAAAATAACCTTGCTTGTAAAAGGAGGACAGCCGCTATGTTGAAAGCATCTAAGATACAATCTAGTTGAAACTGTTTACTAATCGAGAGTCTTTTTGTACACTACCATTTTTAGACTAACTTGGGACCTTGGGCAAATCACTCAACCTGAATAAACCTCAGTTTCCTCCTTTCTAAAATTGGAATAACAATTATATCTAATCCATCTCTCAGGATTATTATACAGTATAGTTAAATGAGAAAAGAAACGTGAAAGACTTATAAATGAAAAAGAGCATTATCAGTACAATAAATCATTTATGTACAGCTTACATGCATTTCAATGCTTATACAGTTTACTCAGCATATACCTACTGGAACTATATTGACTGGTGTCTTATACAAATTAAACATCATATAAAATTTTTCTCAGAAAATGGCATGACCTTGTTGATCCCTTACTGAAAGTATCTCAATCACTTAGTATTCTTAAATCTTTAAAAATGTGAAGCTACTTGCTAAATGATCACCCTTACTGAATTATCAGGTTCCAGCATTGTAATTCTTTGATAAACCTGAGCTCCAATAACGAAAGTACACATCAGATTAACTTTTATAAAGGTTCCAAACTCTATGAATGGTGCATTCCAGTTCTTTGGCGCATCACTATACCTTTAAAGTTATGTTCTTGGTAATAAGAACTACTTACTTTTGCAGCACAGGATCGTATCACCTCCTAAAAGAAATACAATAAAATAAGGAAGTATTCATAATTTCACTAAATAAAGTATTGACTGTTTTCAAAACACTCAGATGTTAATCTAATAACATCTGATGTAATAACCTAAATCAGCATTTGGAAGTTTCTTTATCCATTATCCTGCCGTTGTCTCTGTTTCCAATAAAAGAGACTTAATGACATGTTCAAGGTAAATCTAACTTGCCCAAACAAATGGCACTGTGAAACTCCTGAGGGCTCACAGGTTATCTGTCTCAAGAAAAACTTGCTCTTCAATCAAAAGAATAATAAAATTCTATACTAGAACACTAACAGGTGTAAAAGACACACGCTGAGTTAACTGCAATATATAATTATCTCTATAAATAATAGTAGCCATAAATATCATTCCCATATTATTTGTATCAGATGAAATCTAATATTAAATAGTAAACACTACTAAATGAAAAAATATATGACTAGTATTGAAGGAGCTACAGAAAGGAACTCTGTACAATTCATGGTACGAGGGCTAAGAAAAGATCATTTTGAAAGAGAAACTAGTAAAAGTCGACGTATTATGGACAATTTGAAAATTTGCTGCTAAGGAGACACTAAAAATACAGCCGGGTGTGGTGGCTCCCGCCTTGTAATCCCAGCACTTTGGGAGGCCGAGGCAGGAGGATCACGAGGTCAAGAGACTGGGACCATCCTGGGCCAACGTGGTGAAACCCTGACTCTACTAAAAATACAAAAATTAGCTGTGCGTGGTGGCACGCACCTGTAGTCCCAGCTACTGAGGCAGAAGAATCGCTTGAACCCGGGAGGTGGAGGATGTAGTGAGCCAAGATTGCGCCACTGCACTCCAGCCTGGGTGTCAGCATGAGATTCCGTCTCAAAAAAAAAAAAAAAAAAAAATACTCAGGTCCAATTAGGAGTTAGCCAGCATGTATCATCAGCCTAGTACAGATCTAGTGAAAAATGGTCATAATCAACACGGAGTTTAGGAAAAAAGAGAACTGAAAAAAAATAGATAATTCTCAGTTATTGGGAGCATTACCACTTAGTCATAATATAAATCATTTAATTATTTATCAGTATACTTGACTGCATGTTGCTGCCACAGCAATACCTAAAAGCATTCTGCAACCTAGGTAAGACCTCACAGGTGGACAGTACCTTGAGAACCTCAGTGTATCACATTCTAAGTTTTTAGATCCAGAAATTTGATTTTATCAGTGCATCCACAGTTGCTCAAAATCTGGAATATCTATTAATTTTTTTATCTAGAAATTTCTAAGAGCCAGATACTGTGTCTAAAGCATATCAGTAATTCAGTCACTAAAAGGAGACAGTTCAACTGACTGTGGACATGGGAGTCCAACTACCTGGGCTGAATCCCAGCTACAGTGCTTACTACTTGTGTGATCCTGGTTATGTGGCTTGATCTCTGCAAGCTTCAAATTCCTCTTCTGGAAAATGGGAATAATACTCATGCCATAGGACGGTTTGAGAATTAAACACAATAAAATGTAAAGCATTTAGCACAGTGCCAGAAACATATCAATTATTACTAATAATTAAACAGATGTTAGTTATCATTAATCAATATATAAGGTGGTATCTCCTGTGGGGTAGAGAAAATTAATCTTCTGTCAAAATTGGCATGAAACATTTTCAAACCATTCAATCCATACTCCTATGGCTCTACTTAGCAATCAACTCTGTGATCATTAGCCTGGGCTTCAGGTTAAATTTAGATAGGAAGAGATCTTGAGTGTTCAGGCTGCCAGAATGGTCTACCTTTTATTATATTATAAGGTGTATTTTCATGGATTCTCACTTATTAATCAACTTTTTGTAGGAATGATTAATCTTAATAGATACTTCAGATTCTGAGCAATACTGGATGTACTGATAAAATCAAATTTCTGGATCTGAAAACTTAGAACGAGATTTACCAGTGCTCTCGAGATACTGTCCACCCGTGAAGTCTTACCTGGGTTGCAGAATGCTGCTAGGTATTGCTGTGGCAGCAAAATGCAGTCAAGTGTGCTAATTATGAAATAATTAAGTGACTTATATTATGACTAAATGGTAATGCTTCCAATAACTGAAAACTATCTATTTTTTGTATCTTTTACTCATTAATGCCTAAACAACTATTATATACCTGCTGAACTGAATTTATTATGCAATTCACTCACACATACCCCCAAAAAATTACACCCTAAACCTGTACCATAATTTATTAGAAAAACATTTCTATTGTAATAATAAATAAAAAAAGGAATTTGAGTTCTACTGAAATTGCAAAAAACAAGAGAAAAGGCATAATGACAAAAGGTGGAAATTCAGTCAACCTAAATGTTTGCAAAATACAGAATGAGGCTGCCATGGGAATAAAGACGACATTTTGTTTGTATTCCCATACATATTATGTACACTCTGAAAGAAAATACATTGCAGATTGCAACAGAAAAATAAATTCAGTGAATTCTCTCAATAAAGGAAAAATAATGGTTTTTAAAAACCAAAGCAAAAGCTTTCATTTTCAAAGGCAGCTTCTATCTACCTCAATACCAAAGCAGACATATTCTCTAAATAATTTTAAAAAGAAAATATATCATAAAAGCTAAACAAAGTAATAATTTGAAGTAAATTTTTTCTTTTATAATAAATTATCAATTTGCTTCTCCCCTGCCTTTGATTTCATTTCTTAAAAATCATTTTCCTGATTTTATTTTTCCTTTACATCTACTTTCTTTAGTTCTTACATCCTTTCATTTATCTGAGGATGACAGGTATATAAAATGAAATGAGAAAAAAGCTACAAGACTTAGGTGATTCCAGGACGTTAAGTTTTACAGTATAAAGACCAACAGATTGTAGGAAACTTGTTTTTATAAATCTGTTAGTGAGCTGTTTTTATGTCTGTAGATGAAGTTACTTTGCCATGTAAGTTTTTACACAAGGAACACATTTTTTTTTCCCGGGTGAAGAAACGTGTTTCTCTTCATCTTTAAAGCTCAATGTATCTATTCAGACTTCCTTTTAAAATCTGGAACACCGTGCATTATTTGATTACATTAAAAATGTTAAAATACAAACAACTATAATATTGAAATAAATTTATTTGTAGTTATATATGCTAAAATTTAACTAAGAAACATATATATTTTTCTATATTCCTACATATATTCTGGGTTTAGGTTAAATCTAAACCCAGAGATGGAGTGTAATCTGCATCCTGGTATACCTTCAAGTCTCTAACTTTACAAAGAAAAGGAGAGAGGAAGAGAGCATAGTCAGAACTAAAGCTGTCTCAGTCTAGTTCCTTGAATAGTTTAAAACTAATCGAGATCTCTATCAAGGGAGCAAGAAAAGGGATAATATTTATGAAAGAAAGTAAGAATAAAACAATGAACAAGGCTGCACAGCCCCTGTCTTCAAGGAGCTCAAAGTCATTCTAATAAAAGGACTTCCACTTAATTCTACTAAAAGTATGGTCAAAGATTTTTTCAGGATGCTTAGGCTTCTTATTACATTTGACCATTTATCTTTGAGAAAAATTTTCTAGGAATTTTCGCTAACAGAATGCTACACTACCTTTAACAAAGCATCTTCCTTCTCTTCATTTTCATGATCTATTTTCCAATTTTATGGGCAATACCTGGTTTCTGTGGTACTTTTCTTATTAGTAGTGAGATAAAGCTTTTAAAATACGCTTATGAAACACTTCTCTCCCCCTTTTAGAACAGTTTATTTCTTTTACCCATTTCTTTTTTTTTTTTTTTTTTAGTAGAGATGGGGTTTCACCATGTTGGCCAGGATGGTTTCAATCTCCTGACTTTTGTAGTTTTTTTTTTTTTTTTACCCATTTCTTTAACAAAGAAAAGATTTACTATTTTTTTCTTTACTGTTTAGTTTTTTGCATTTTAACATGCTTCTTTAATACCTTTTATGTAAACATTTCCCCTGGCTGGTGTTTATTGCACATATATGTGTGTGTTTGTATGTTTTGCATATACACACATACATACACAACCTTATATTTTTAAACAGAGAAATTGAAAATTATATGTCAATAGTCTATTAATATTTTGGGAGAGGATTGTCCACTGCTTTTAAAATTAGTATGTTTTCATTCATTTGAGAAATATTTGCTGGCGTATTTCCCTAGTTTTAAAAAAGATCTGGATTTTCATATTTAACTCCTCGGTAAATGAGAATTTGATTTAGGTGAGTGACCTAAGATATAGATGTAAACTGACTGTATTTTTCAGTCAACAATGTTAACAATGTTTCCCAACACCATACAAGGGAACAATTCTTCCTTTCCCTACTGATTTATCTTTCTATCTTAGTGAATTTGAATTATACTACAGGTATTGTTTCAGCTTCATTATTACTTTGGCTCTTATAGAGAAGTTCGAAGATAGCTTAATTCCTATGTAGATAACTAGTCTTTTTTTTTTCCCCCATCATATCTATGATTTTTCTTTAAGACATCTTTAAAAATCAAACTATTTCACTAGGATATTTCTAAGGATACTGGCATCTTTTCATTAATTGGTCTGGTAATAGATACTTTCATTTTACAGATTTGGGACTTCAGCACAGGAAGGCCTTTTGTATTTGATCTTTGTTATCTCTTTTCACACATGCTGGTCTCTTCTTTAACAACACTGATCAACCATGTGCACAATCTATCTCATATTCATCTCTTCTCTCATTACCAACAATAATAACTAACATTTATCAGTGGCACTATGTATCAGACACCCTGTTAAGAGGTTTACTTCTAGGGTCTCACTGAATCTTAAAAATCCCGTAAGGTAAGAAATGTTACAATCCCCATAATGGCTCACGCCTGAAATCCCAATACTCTGGGAGGCTGAGGCAAGAGGACTGCTGACTGCTTGAGGCTAGGAGTTGGAGACCAGCCTGGGCAACATACCAAGACCCTGTCTCTATAAAAAAAATTGTTTTTAAATTAGCTAGGCCTGGTGGTGTATGCCTACAGTCCCAGCTACTCAAGAGTCAGAGGCCGGAGAATTGCTTGAGCCCAGGAGTTCGAGACTGCAGTGAGCAATGATCACACCACTGCATTCCAGCCTGGGCCACAAAGTGAGACCCTGTCTCTAAATTAAAACAAAACAAAACAACCAAAAACCACCTCATTTTATAGATGAGGAAAACCAGGTTTACTTCAACTTATCCAGTCACAAAGCTGGCACAGGTTGGAGCCTATGCTATTCCTATGCCTAAGCAGTTGGACCCTAGAGCTACACTTTTAACCATAGTTTTCACCTATCTCTTTTTTCTGTATTCTTGTATGCTTCTGAAATTAGTTCTCTATGCTACATTATTGATCTGATATTTTAAAGTGTCAACTTTCTCTTTTACCATTTGCAATGTGGAATTAATTGAAGCTTACCTTTTGATTTTCTTTAAATTCATTTTATCTTAGATGTCTTTTTAAAAAATCTTGGGACTCTCTTTTCATCTCTTCATTAACAGAAATTCTGTTTTCTTCTATTTTATTGAGAACACACTCTAAATATTCTGTTTCTTACAGTAAAGCATTTTAAGATATGCTTTGACTGACTTACTTTCCTTTTTTGGGGAAGGGGAGACACAGTCTCACTTTGTCACCCAGGCTGGAGTGCAGTGGCACGATCTCGCCTCACTGCAACTCTGCTTCCCGGGTTCAAGCGATTCTTGTGCCTCAGCCACCTGAGTGGCTGAGATTACAGGTGTGCGCCACCATGCTGGGCTGAGAAAGTCACGGTTTCTCTTTTTTCCTAGGAGATGGAGTCATACCCGTATGCTAAGTCCTAGTGGTCATCTGGTTCAGAGCCCTCCATTATCACTAGGTCCTGGGCTAGTCTTCACAGAGATATCAAGTCAGAACAGCATGACAGATTATCCTAAATTCAGTTTGTCTGTTGCAATTAAGGGTTTAGGAATAAGTAACTGAAAGGAAACACAAAAGTATAAGAAGGTCTAATTTTAAGTAATTCACTTACTTCATTAAATGAGTATTTATTGGCATGGCAATGTAAAACAGTATAGAAATAGTTTTAAAGTTTCAACTGCATAAAATAAACATACTGTGACAGTTTCAAGTCTCTGTTTTACTAGATGCATCTTTGTTGAAGAATTTTCAGTGTGGACAAATTCATCAATCTGAAAAGAGCCTTGATGGGGTAGTTTTGGACATGTACACAGGGCATCTTGACTTTGGTGTATTCCAGGTAATGGAAATGTTCCATTGTAGCGTTTGAACATTTCAGCCTCCTGCTGGGCAACTGAAGAAATGAATCCATAATTAGTTAAATCATCATAGTAAAAGCATAATCAAGCCCCAAAGCTGTAGCATTCAACATATAATCAGAAACTGCATTAACACGTCTTAAAAACGGCGTAATAATAAGACACTATGACTAGCAAAATTTGAAATTATTTGCTGCTATAAAATCATAAGGAAGGAAACAGAATTTCATGTCAGGCAGCATTATAATTGAGCTGTGAAGGCCATGTAAATTGGGATGGGAGACTAACTTTAAATATATGTATACAGAAAAATAATATTAAAAAATCAAAGGCATAACAGAATTAAGGGAAATACTAAAATAATACTTATTCACAAGCAACTCTAAAACAACTATTTTTGTATTTCTGTACCCTTCTTAATTTTTACACACATTCTATGTAAGATACCATAATGTAAATACAATTTAACATTTCTCAATTTAAATGCAAGTATTTCTCATATTTCTACAATGGCGTAATTATCATTATTAAATGTTTTACAGTATCTCATCTAATGAAGCTCCGTAATTTTTTTTTTTACACATCCTCTTGTACTGAATACAGTTGGTCCTTTGTATCTGTGGGTTCCCTATCCATAAATTCAACCAACTATGGATCAAAAATATTCAGAAAAAAATAACAATACAATAATACAGTATAACTATTTACATAGCATTTATACTGTATTAGGTATTATAAGTAATCCATAGATGATTCCAAGTATATGAGAAGATGTCCACAGCTTATATGCAAGAACTATGCCATTTTACATAAGTGACTTTAACATCCATAGATTTTGGTATCCCCAGGGGTTCTGGAACTGCCAGTCCTCTATGGACAACAAGAGATAACTCTATTTATAGTGCTATCTGTTCTCCCTTATAGATCATGCAAGAATAATTACTTTCATAGATGACTTTGTTTCTTAACATAATTCTTATTTTGGAGTTAATTCTCTAGAGTGAGGAAGATGGCACAAAGGGTGAATGTTTTGATGATGACTGATGATGATGATGATGATAATAACGAGCATGGTAGCATCTGTGCTGCACTTTGTATTTTTGGGGGTGCTATCACATACATTACCTCATTTGATCATTGAAAACATATGAACTTGAAAAATTTTAAATGTCTATATATAAAAAGGAGAAAAAATATATAAACTCATCATTTAAAAAAGTATTTCCTTAGTTATATAATCTTTAAATGGAAAGCCTTCCTAAACATGACATGAGAGAAAGAAACCTCAAAACAGGGAATGATAATATGGAATCAATGGATGAACATTCAGTGAGTCTATGGACTACTGAAATTACTATGGAAATGTGAGTGTGTTTATATAAGCGTTGCTGGAAAGCTGATTCATAATTTTTATCAGGTTATCTATCGAAGGATTACATGAGTCAGAAAAGGTTAATAATTGTCAACATTCTTATGGAACAATGAACAGATTTTGTAACATGAACATTTAAAGAGTCTTCATTAAAATAAAAAAAACTGGCCAGGCACGGTGTCTCATGCCTTAATCCTGGCACTCTGGGAGGCTGAGGCGGCAGGATCATTTGAGCCTAGGAGTTTGAGACCAGCCCTGGCAAGACAGTGAGACCCTGTTTCTACAAAAAATTGAAAAATTAATCGGGCAGGGTGCCATGTGCCTGTAGTTTCCAGCTACTGAGGAGGCTGAGGTGGGAGGATTGCTTGAGAGTGGAGGTCAAGGCTGCCACTGCGTTCCAGTGCAGACTGGATGACAGAGCTAATGTGATTTTTAAAATCATATTTAAGACTTAAATATGTAAATAAACTACTACAATAAAAATTGAAAAGGAAATGACGTAATAGCATTCTTCTATTTTTGACCAAAATGGAGTAGGGACTAGATTTACTCTGCTGCTTGAAACTACCAAGAAAAGGACAAACTGTATAAAAGAAAAAAAAAAATGTCTTTCTTTGCAGACATGATTGTCTAGCTAGAGCTAAAGTGGAGTAAGGCAAGTGAAGCACACAGGCAGCAAAATTTAAGGAGGTTCTCACTTTGAAGTCCTGGCTCCACATCTGTGTAAAAATTCTAAATGGAATCTAAAAAAACAAGGCACTAGAATTGACTTTAGCAATGTTGTAGGAGATGAGCTCAAAACACAAAAATTCTCTATATGTCTATATACAAGTAATTAAGAACCAAAAATTGAAAATAAAAAAATACATATGCCATTTACTATGGCATAAAAAACATGATATACTTTGAAGAAAAAAAAAGGATGAAAAATGTGAAAGACCTGTACACTGAAAACTAAAAATACTGCTGAGAGAAACTGACAAAGCAATTTGTCATTGTATTCACTGGGTGGCATACGCAATATTGGTAAGATGTAAATTCTTCCCAAATGATCTGAAGATTCAATGCAGTCCCACTCAAAATTCCAGCAGGTTATTTTCGGAGAAATTGTAAAATAAATTCTAAAATCGACATGGAAATGAGTATTACCTAGAACAGCCAAAACAACTTTGAAAAAGAACAGAAAACCTGACTTCAAATCTCATAAAGCTACAGTAATCCACACAGTTTGCTACTGGCATAAAGATAAATAAATAGATCAACAGAATAGTACAAAGTGCCCAGGGTGTATAGACAAAGTATAAAGGCCATTCAGTGGAGAAAAGACAGTTTTTCCAACAAATGGTGTTAGAATAGTTGGATATTCATATGTGGAAAAAAATGAACTTTGATCCATACTTTACAACATGTACAAAAGTAACTCAAAATGAACTACAGATCTAAATGTAAAACCTAAATCTATAAAACTTCTAGAAAAAAACAGAGAACACTTTTGTGAACTTGGGTTAGCCAAAGATTTCTTAGATACAACACTAAAATGCATAAAAGAACAAACTGATAATTTGAACTGCATCAAAATTTCAAACTTTTGTTTTTTAAATTGTTAAGACAATTAGAAAACAAACCAGACTGGGGAGAAACAACCTGCAAATCATCTGCCTGATAAATACTTGTACACAGAAAACACAAATAAATCTCAAAACTCAATAATCAGAAAACAAACAGGACAATTTAAAAAATAGACAAAAGATTTGAAAGGACAATTTACTGAAGAAGCTATATGGATGACAAGCATGCAAAAAAAGGTGCTCAACGTCATTAGTCATTAGGGAAAAGCAAATTAAAACCACAATAAAATAGCACTGCACATATATTAGAATGGCTAAAATTCAAAAGACTGCCCATTTCAAAGTTGGCAAGTACACTGATACACTAATGGTGGGAATGTCAAATGTTAAATGACATAACCACTTCAGAAAATAGTCTGGCAGCTTCTTAAGAAGTCAAACGTACATCTGCAATATGATCCAGCCCTTCTACTCCTAGAAATTTATCCAAGAGAAATGAAAACATATGACCATACAAAGACTTGTATGTGAATATTTGGAGAAGCTTTATTTGTAATACCTAAAATCTGGATACAACCCCAATGTCCATTAACAGGTGAATGGATAAACAAACATTGTGTGGCACAGCCATACAATTAAACAACACCCAACAATATAAAGAATAAATTACTGATAAATGCTGAAACACAGATTTATCAAAGTACTTATAGGTGAAAGGAGCCAGATGAAAAAAAGAGTACATGATATATACAGTTTCACTTACATACAATTCTGGAAAACGCAAACTAATTTATAGTGGTAGCCTGGGCTAAGGGTGAGGAAGGAACAGAACGCAAAAGGGCACAAAGTAATTTCTTGGGATGACGAATATGTTCATTATCTTGATTGAGGCAATGGTCTCCCAGGTGTATAAATGCCTGAACATCAGATAGTACATTTAAATATGTTCAGTTTATAATATGTCAATTATACCTCAATAAAGCCATTCACCAAAAAAAAAAGAAAAAATTGTAATGAAAGGGGTAATTATTCTTACTATGCAGAGTTCTCATGAAATCCACTAAAGATTAATAATCGAACAGAAACATGGGCAAAGAACCATTAAAGAATATTCACAAAAGAACTATGTGTCCAACAAAAATATAACCTCATTAAAAATTAAAGTAATTAGTAATAAAAATGCAAATTAGAAAGTGCCTTTTTTTTTTTTTTTGGCCTGTTTAACTGACCCACTGTACCTCAAGATATTATTTCCCAAGGAATGTTAAGGGTAGCTAGGTGTGTACTGAAGCACTATTTAAATGTTGAAAAAGACATAACAGTGTAATTGCGCAACAACAGTTTAAAGTACAGTATATTCAATTAATGAAAGGGAATTTATCCACTAAAATTATGTATAGAAATGTAATTATCACAATGGAAAACTGCTCATAATATATTATTCATTGGAAAAAAAATAATTTATAAAACAATAGACAATATACACAAAAAGACAACCATTTTCTCAAGTTACCAGCCTTGGTTTCACCAACTCTCAGTCTGAGATGATGCATATAAACAATATTAGGTCTCTGATCTTTACATTCATGTACTATTTCATTTAGGCACACTAAATGAAGAACAGCTCAATAATAATTGGTGTTCTCTCCCTGCAGACCTTGACAGTAGTGAGTACCAAAGGATATCATCAAGGGAGAGGACCTGGTTACACTCCACCCTTTTAGTGATGTACATTCCTCAATACTAATTACTGTTTTTAAACAGAAGTGTAGCCATTTCTCTGTAGATTGTTATGGATTTGACTATCATTTTTCATTACGCATTTTGAACTTTTCTCCAAAACAATCAGAACACTTATTTAACCTCAACTATTCAAAGACTGCTTATAGAACAAGAGAAACTTTAAAACTGTAAAAGAAAATAAGTGCTCCATGAACTGGAATTTGGAATGTTTAACAGTAGGTGGGTTTCAGGAATAAATAAATCAACAAATGCATATCATGTTTCGTGATCTTTGTCTTATTTGCTTTTAAAAATTGTCCTTTCAACATTTAATTGTGTTTTGCTGCTATGAATGGAAAATAAAACTGGGTTT